TCAAATAGGGGTGCAATTACTCTGCAAATTCCCCCCCCCATGATGTTCGAAGAAGTGATGATTCAAATAGGGAGGAATTGGTGATGCGCATGATGCGCCCCGCTACGTTTTAGATTTTCTACAGAGATTTAATTGCACCCCTAGTTGAATCATCAATTCTTCGAACATCATGGGGGGGCTGCCGCCCCCCCCCCAACCCCCCCGCTACTTTTTGTATTTTTACAGGGACTGAACTGCCCTCCTATTTGAATCATCATTTTTTTGACCCTGTGAACCCGCCAGCTACTTTTTAGATTTTGTTACCCACGATTTGTTGGTGGTGCCAGGGAAGTTGGTCGGACATGCGGGGGATGTTGAAAACGATGTTGGGGATGTTGACGGGCTAGTGTGAAATGCATCAATTTCGCGAGAAAATGCTGTTAAATACGACATTTTACTGGCCCGGACGAAAACAATAAAAAAAAGTAAAAAAGGAATAAACAAAAACACAAATCCGAAAAACAATCCCCAAATAGTCCGCACCCAATTAAAAGGAACACATGGTAGCGCCAGTTTTATGCATTTGGTCATCCACTTATCTTTGACGTAGCACTCTGCAAGCTGATGAACACTTGCCAAGAAAAACAAGTTGGGTGGGGGAGCTTTGTTTGAGACCCCCCAAAAAGGTGCATGTGCGCCATTTGGGGACCTTGTTTGCGTCATGGTGTGCCGCCCGAAAAACGAGGTCCTCAAAAGAGCCCCCCCCCCCATTCGCCACTTTACCAAGGGCCGAAGGGCCAGAGTTCGTTGAAATGCCAGAGTTGGCGGGATTGTGATTCGTCAATTGGGCTTGCAAGGCTATCAGGGATCCTCGAATAAGCTGAAAGAAAGCGACATGGGAATGGATAGTCTTTGGATGTGTTCACCCTGTTTCACGTTTGGGAGCCATGTAGGTCTGTTTTTTTGTACTCGGTGTTCTTTGTGGTTCTAAAAGGAACTAAAAGGACAACCACCCATTTTGCTTGAAAGTTCCCTAAAACGACTACCCCCATGTAAACAACCACACCCGCCCAATGTGCCCGATGGGTTTAAGCGAAGCGGCTTGCCGAGGCTTTGTGTGCCTTCCGGCTGAACCTCCATAGCAGCGACCAGCAGGCGGGGGAACATGCATCACTTGTTTAGAGGAAATTGCAAAAGCTGCTCGACATGCGACTTTTGTTGCAGGGGAACAAAGGTAGGGACAGGGCCGGCTTACGCTCTTTTCAAGAATCATGGAGTGGACACGGGGTTGAGACACTTGACGTGGGGGTCCATCGATAAATTCTCCTTTCAACGCCAGTTGGAACCTCACCTTTGTTTGAACAGCCCAACATTTGCAGTCGCTCTGGCCGGCAGATTTGAGGGGGAACCACGGAGAGCCTTGTTGGATTCCTGTGAACATTGTGAACATGAGCACAATTGACGAAGTGAGGCCAAAGTCAGGGTCCTCGTAACGTACTCCCTGTTTTTTAAAGTTGTATTGTTCCAAGGGTTTGCCCGTGAAGCACACAATGTTGTGTTGGCACATATGAATGATTGCCTGTTACTACTTGTTCCAAGGCTAGGGAGCTAGTTTCGGACCCAGCGCCGGTTTCCGAGTGACGGCAATCTGGACCTGTGAAGTATCTTTATTGGAAACAGACTCCATGTCTCAACCCCTCAAACACATCACCCCACCCGCCCGGCACTTGGAAAAGACTAGAATGAGCAAGAACCGGAGGCTGGGGGGGCTGAAAAGGTTCACTCCTGCGAGGGTAGGTTCGATCTCACGCGAGCCGCGCTGAAAACAGTTCGACTCGCAGGAGAAGTTCCTGGCGGTGCTGAAGGACGCCAAGGCTCCATGCAGTGCCGTCAAACGACGTGGGGTCACTAGGAAAGAGGTCAGCAACCAAGATAAGTGTGTGTGTGTGTCACTGTATGTCGCTTTTTGACGGTACACCGTTTGAGCCCTTTTAAAAGGGGAGCCGCGATTTTGGTGTTGCCCTTTGAGACAAACCCATGGGAAGTTCTGATTGGGGGACTCTTGTGTCGTGGGGAAGCCGTTCTCGAGGGAACCGTTACCCTTGAAAATGAGAATCGTCGTTTGGAAGGCGTTCTAATGCTTTTCCAGAAGCTGGCAGTTCCCACCAGCCTGATGTAGGCAAGATCATGCCCATGGCCCGTAGGAGGTTCGGATGTCATGGAGTAAAAGCGCCGGAACACAAAGCAGCATGAAAGTCGGCCGTGGCTAGGTGCGTCTTTGCGTCTTTGTGTCTGGGACACGCCCACACCCACATGGTGTCTTTTCTCTCCTGAAGCCAGGCCTGAGGCGCCGGGGTCGACCGGAATCATGCGAGGTCGATGAAAGTGGCGACTCGAATCGGGTTCTGTGGCAGGGGTCCTTACTGAAATTGCGGTAGCGAGAAATGAGTGGACCCCCTCAAACAGGACTCCTACACCAATTCACAAAAAGCAGGGCAGCATCTTCTGGTTGGTCAATCTTGTTAGTGAGTTTGTTTTGGTGGCTGAAGTTTACAGCTTGGACCTTTAGGCAACCCTGGGTCATTCTCGTGTCAGTTGCGCCTTATCGGAGTCTTGGTTATTTTTGGACCTGCAAGCTGGTTGTACATGGCACCGTTCGGATGTCTCGATCCCTCAAGATCTGATGGTCACGGGCAGCAGTTGGGGAGGGGGGAAGTGCTGTGTCCCTGTGCGTATTCAGCCTTCAAGAATGCCAGGAACTCTTCAGGAATTTTGGGGCCAGGGAAGTTGCCAGGCACTGGGAAGAATGTTGAAACCATTTTGGGGTTGTGTGGCCAGGGTGCGTATGTAGTTGTGGGGCAAGGAGCCAGGATTCAAGATTCCAAAAACAAAACATCTCTGGGCACTCTTGGGATAAAGCTTGAATCCACTTCTCAATCCCCATCCACTGCGGAACCGAACATGGGCAACTCAGTTGTTCAGTGGCACCCTTTTTCCCATTTCTTTGGGTGGCTGCCCCACTAAAAATGGTCTTCCCAAAAAAGGGTTCCCTTCTTTCTCCAGGGTCACTGACCAACTGAGGCAAGGATTCAAATGTCACAATGCCTGGCCCCTAGCCTGATGTATTGTACTTCGTTGTACATTGCGCCACGTAGCCTTGGATTCAAAATTCCGAACAACGGCTTAGCAATCTTCGATCCGGGCGAAGTACTTCCAAGTACTGGGATGTTTCATGCCTCGAACTTTCCAAGCGCCTTGGCTATTCCTCAAATGGACACCTTCGCACAGACTGTTGGGCTAGAAGCCTACATACTCATCTGCCTAACATGTTTTTTTTTTACAAGGCATGCACATTTGTCTGTGCATGTACATATTACATACATCTCAATGTATAGACATTTCCATACATAATTACACCCGCGTGCGCCCTTCTACGTGGTGTCCACTTGTGCTGCATTTTCGGTTCGCAGCTTGGAACTGGGCCGGTCTTTTGAATCAACGGGATCCCATCAACCGAAGGCTTCCACCCGGTCCAGCAGTTTGTTCCAATCAGCTGAGAGTAACTTGGCAAAGGCAGATCTCGGATGCTTGGGGACCGCTTTTGGGGAGGCCAACGTGTTCGGAAAGATCGTCCAATGCCGACATCAAGACCCTGGCCACAGCACGTTCCCACATTGGTGTCTTAGCATCGATGGCCGCATCCGCAGGGCCTGGGGTCGATAGGGTCACAGGGTCACATTCAATTCGGAGGTTTTCAAGCAGTGGCCAAAGGCTTAGCCTCCGAACCCGGGTGGTTTTAGCATGCCGAGCCGACTTGCGCTATGGCGGACCAACTACGTCAGGCGCTTTTTCGCCGTGCAGCTGGGCATGTGGCTTTGGGTCGCACTTTCTGTAATGTGAAGCGGGCTTGACTTAACCTTGGTGTACTTCTCAAGTGGAACCCTGAAATGGTTAGAGCGCTCTGTTTTTGGCGGTTGGCTTTCCTTCAGAGACCAAACGCAGGGCCACGTCCAAGTTCCGGCCACGCCCAATCGCTAAATGTGTCAAGCCCAGGGGCCAACTTCATGCAGGCTTGAGGAATTCTCAATCAATGCATCTCTGTTGGGAGCTGAGCTGCAGTTCTAGACTTTTTCGCTACCCAGGGTTGGTCACTTTGGGTGCGTTCTTTTTCCCCCCCCCCGAGGTCACCCTTGTAGAGGGAAGCCAGCAACCAATAATGGGGCTTCCGGAAAAAAGAAAAACAACAGATCAACAAAAACATGTGCGCTACCAAAAACCCCTGACTTGGCCGGTGCCATCTCGAGCGCCACAGGGGCCGAATGGGAGATTTTGAAGTGAGGTTGCATAAAGTCCGGTTTGATGGCAACGCCCCTCAAAAAGGGGGGAACTCAAAAAAACCAACGAGTTTTTTGGCAAGACATTCTCAAGTGTTTTTGCTTCTTCTTTTTTTGCCGGGGGGCGGGGCTTGGGGGGGGCTTTTTCCCAAAGAAAGGGCAGGCCCAAGTCTTCGCGCTTGCGCGAGGCCAAGCAGGTGGTCCGCGACTTCGTGGTGGAGATGCGGGCCGGGCGGCGCATGATGGTGCTGACGCCCACGGGGCAGCTCAAGGAAAACGCGGCGTAGCGAGCGAGCGAGCGGTTGGGCGAAGGGCGGGCGGGATGGGCTCTCTGGTCCGGGGTCTGCAAATGGCTGTGGTTGTCACAACATTTTTGGGATCCCATTTTGGTAGGTGAACTCACCACACATTCTAGAACCTGTTTTAGCGGGGATTGGGATGTTCACTGGGGGTACGGGATTTTGACCCATGGCCAACTCAGTTTGTTGTTTGGGTCTGCGTGAAAAAGCAAGTTAGCGAAGGATTGGTCCCATAGGTGTCCTTTTGATCGGTTAGTTTGGCTACAAATGGATGGGTTCCACCGGTTTAGATGGGGTTCATTCCATTTACCAGGCTCAGGGAAATCCATTGTTTTTTCCAGAAGCTATGAATGGTCAGGGATGGGGGTCTGCGTGACAAGTTTGGTATTCTTGGGGTGAATGGACCCCCTCGACAACAGACCCGACCCGCTCTCCATGGGAAAGGAGTACCCAGGCTTTTCGGAGCCCGTGAAACCTGAAGCCATCTTTGTTTTTTTCGGCTTTGGTTGGGGCCAGGGTCGAAACGCGTTTGGCGCGCGTTGAAGGCCACTTTTGCCCCCAAGGCTTCAAAAAAGGACACGTGTTCCGTGAGACCTCGGGTTTTAGGTTCCACCATTCCCGACCGATACCTTTCCAGCGATAAGTTCGTCAGAGGGGATGAGAATCAGCCAACGGCCTGGCCAGTTCCAGGCGACCACGGCGAGTCTGAATCAGGATCTCTCCGTCTTCCGCCTGGTCCGGGCGAATCTGGCGCCTTGGCGACAGCTCGGCTGCGCAATTCTGGGGGATGGGTCCCTTAAAGCGAACACAAATTCTGTGTCTGTTGTTTTCTGACCTTTTGAGGGGGCAAAGGTGGCTCGCCCTCAGACCACCATCTAGAGGCTGATTGGGGGGGTGTCACTGTAGTAGACGCAGTTGGATACTTTGTCGAGCTGCCGTTATTTTTGTTCGGCTCCTTGGCCCTTGTCAACTGGACCATCCGTTTGTTTGCCCAGCAATTGCAGCTTGGTCTGGCACAGACGGGGCTAGGGAAAAGGGATGGATTATCTAGCAGTTGTTGGACCATCAGCAGGAGGTCAAACACTAACCAATCACTTCGAACGGGGCAAACTAACAGAAGCAAGTGGTTGTGTATTTGACCTTGAATCTTCAAGCGACCAGAATGACGCACTGTTTGCAGCGGGCTAGGTTGACCGATGCATGGACACATGTTCCAAACAGGGGTACCGTACCCTAAATACAGGTCACCCCTCCAAGAGCAATTTAGTTGTCGGGTGTCAGCATCAACCCAGGTTCCTTCGTGACACTGATCGCAAATGGGCAACTCAGGTGCGGCGCATCCCGCTCAAAGACATCGGCGGGATCTTTTGCGGCACTGAGCCCGAGGCGCTCAAAGGGGTGGTCATTCTTACACTGCCTTGTGGGGAAGCCTTTTATGTTCCTTTTTCAGGCGCCCCGGATTCCAAGAGTTGGTGTGCCGGGATCCAAAGGTACATTCCCTGATTTTCGCTTTGAGGCAACCAAGCTGCGGGTGATGTTTCAGGGGATTTGCCGGGAGCCGTGTTATTTCAGAACAGCACACGGGCCGCCTAAAAGTTGCAGAACCCCTGCGCCACCTGGTGGCGCAGGGTTGCCAACAAAATGCCCCCTTGGATTGCTTTGCACTGGAAAGGCAAACTTGAAACATGTGCTTTCCTGTCAGTGGAGGTTAGCTCCCTGACCCGTTTTCGGGTTCGGTATCCCCAAAATCAGCGACCAAAGAAGTAGAATCCGTTGGAGTCCTTTGGGGGAGAAGCGTTGGTTACGTGGCACAGTCCATTTTGCTTGTCCACCTTCTTTGTATTGCACCTTCCAGGGCTTTTCCAGGAATGGCTAAAAAGGCGCCCTCCATGTTCGGGAGATACCCGGAAAAAGAGAAGCCTGAAATGTAGAATTGAACCTCTCCCCGCTGGAACCCCAGCGAGAGGTGCTGACGACCCCGCTGGACGACTTGTGCGCCACCTTGCTGGTGAAGCCCAGCAACGAGATCCTTAAAAGCAAAAAACGAATCACCCTAGGTGTGGGTCCCAAAAAAGGGGCTTCACATAGAAGACTGGTGGATGGGAAACAAGGACTAGAACCTGCGGTCCCCTGGTGAAATTATTTTGACCCATACCCAAGTGACCTTTCCTTTACTCAATGGTTTGCACTACCCGTAAACCACTCCCAGGGTAAACGAAGGTGTATACTTTTGACCAGTGTATCGCGGTTGAGCATCCGATGGAACCCCCTCAGGGTAGTGATTTCGGGAGTGAAAAGCATCTTGGATTCAAGATTGTGGACATGCGTCTTAGTTTGTTGACATTTCTGGTTCTGTTTAATTCAAGTGGGGGGTTGCAAACATTGCTTTTCTGCCATATGAGGGGTTCTTGGTCGGTCTTTGGATTTACTGACCTTGACTGACCTTCAACCTGTTGCCTTTTTTTGCGGATTGTGAGTCGCTTTTTGGAGAGGGTCAAGGAATGATCCAGTTTGGGCTTCCCTCTCAAGTATGAAATCACGCAGGTTCCCCCGCTTGGTCTACTTGAAGTCATGGCCCGAAAAGATAGCTACCTTTCTTTTGCTGTCCTTTTGGCAAAGGATGGTGACCTTCCGGCTGGAGCACATCAACGCGCGAGACACGCCGCTCAGATGTGTGATCCGCGGGATAGCCAAGGTATGTCCGAAGTCGCCTCACCTCAAATGGCTGCCCACTCATGTTGGCAAGCAATAATTGTGGAAGGTGTGTGCCTATGGGTGTGTTTTCTTTTGCCGTTGGTTTTCCTTGCACGCCTGGAGATGTGGATTGCTTCTCCAGATAGCTTCTGCAGTTGGCCTTTCCGCTGTTGTTGACCCATTCGTTTTCTTTGCACCCATCGCTGTTTCCATTGGCTACAGGTTGTACGGCTTGACTGAACCTTGATATGTGTTCTAGTAGTTTAAGTTTTTTGGGTAGGTGGAGGGCGCTTTCTCAAGAGACTGGAGAAATGAGTCTTTTTTGCACTGTTTTGGTTTAGAAAGCACACCGAAATCCGTTTTGGGATTCCCCTTCAAGACACACTCACATGTTTTTGGGTAGACCGCTTCGGGTTGTGGTTGCGAACGGCGGACGGCACCAACCAGCAGCTTTCTGATACTGGCTTTCATTTGGAATCACGTGGCCGTGTGGCGAAGTATGGAACTCCCTCCCAAAGACAGTTGCTCATGTTTTGTTACTAAATTGGGTTGTTGTCATTTCCAGAGATCCTATGGCGCCCATAGGAACTAACAGTGGCCTGTTTCAGGGCCTTGTGATTTCCACCATCCGAGGACCATTGGAAGGTTCTTTTGGTGTTTTGTGACAGAGGTCCTTGCATTCCCCCTACATGATTTAACCATCACCTGTCAACTGCTGTTTCAACATGCGTTTCCTCTACTGTGTCAATGTTTGGCAACATGCTACATCTCCGTTCACTAACATGTGCATGTTCTCCTGTATTCAAGTCCTTGGTTCGAACATTGCCCAAGTTTTAGTGGGGTGATGTTAGGCCGGGGACATATGCGGTCAAACCAACCTGACACAGACTCGGGAGTTTAGATGGAGCCACCAACTCCCTTCGGTATTTTCTCCACTCATCCTCAACCCCTTCACCACTGGGAAGCCCGGGCCGGGTCCCTGAGGTTGGTCATGTGCCTGATGCTCTTTGCGCAGAGTCAGGGCGCGGAAATGGACGCGGTCGGCGAGGAGGTTGAGGCGCGGAGATTCCTTCGAAAGGCCCTTCGTGTCCCGCGGTTCCATGTCCCAGGTTAGGGGGATATATACATACATATATACATATACACATACATATATTCATATATGTATACATATATATATATATGTATGTATCTGTGTTGTGTGTGTGTGTGTTTTCCCCCCTAGCCATTTCGGCTCAAGCTGTTATGGGACTGACTGCGCACCGCTACTCTCACCCTCCTAGGATCTGAGATATCCGTCGAGATGTTTGCCATTCTCTGCGGATTTTGAGCTCACCCTCAGCTCGGCGACTCAGTATCGTTTGAGCTCTTGGGACCCTTCATCGACGGATGGGCGTTCGATGCCTTTTGGCCTTCCGCGCTTGAGGGCGTTTGCGTCGTCCTCATTTTGCGTTTCACATATCGTCTCGCCGTGCGCGCATCTCTTGCCATGTCCCAGGCAGTGTTTCCGATTGAGACATGCAGCCGCTCTGACGATCTGGCGCTGCAGAGTATCTGACAAGCTCAACATCATCGATGAGGGTCACGCTCCTAGTTTCCGCACTCCAGATGCTACGCGTTAGGCGTTGCCCTGCTTGCATTGCGTCCCATGTTCGTTCTATGACTAGCACTCGATTAGTGCTATTGTCATCGCAAGGATGAACGATCCTGCAGATTCTATCAGGTAGCTTGCTGCAGTCAATGCATTCTTCCGGCAGCCCACACCTCAGCTGTTTGGCCAATCCGACTCTTCCACGGCGTCGTTGGTCAGCTTTCTGGAATCCCGACGTCGCCCGCTTAACTCAGAGAGCGGCCGGGGATTGTCCCGAACAGCCTTCTCTTTCCCGTGTCATCAATTTTCCATGGTGGGCTTTGGGCTGCAATAAATCGAGCTGAGCTGTATGGGGTATCTGTGGCGCTACGTTGGTCGGTTCAACATCATGCCCTCCGCATTTGGTCGCACCATGCGGTTGACGGGTTCTCAGCATTGCAAAGTTGGTTGCAAGGGGGCTCAAGGGCCCGGATTCAATTTTTCCGTGCGTTGCCATGATTGCTTGAAAATCATCCCAACCATGAACTTTGACTGATTGATGTGATGGATTGAACACCACTAAGACGGTCCAACAAACCGTGAATGGCCGTCAGGAGAACAAGTCAGAGAGAACAACCCTCGCAGCTCCAAAGACGACCAAGCCCCCAAGAAGAAAGCACAGATCAAAACGATGGTTTCGGTCCAGTTTGGCTACCGTTGCGGGGGAGCCGGGGCTTGAAATGCGTGACTCCGCTACCACAAAGGAGTGTTTCACATGTTTTTTTGGGGCGTAGCACTATAGTTGGTCACCAAGAACAAACCACGCATGTATAGGGACGGTTCAAGTCCGGTGGGCACCCCAAAGCAGTGTATGGAGGCATGTACCCCGGACAGACCTTACCAAACATTTCGCCTGGTACCAACACAAGCATGTATGGAAGGGGAGGGCCACTTTTCTCGAGTTGGGGCGGGATGTTCCAACCACATTTCTCGCAACAGGAGGAGGGCGATGAGGAAGAGGCTTCTGAAGCCCAAGATGTGGGTTTCGCCAGCGCGGCGGGCTCTCGCCCATGAGAGAAGACCAAAAGGAGGGCTAGAGAGCTGACAGAAAAATCGGTCAGTGGATGGACGTGGACCCCTGAAGTTCCGAGCGTAGACGTCCAGAAGGGTCTTTTCGTAACGGAGCCATGACGATGCCCCACATGCTGGGAGTTTTGAAGGTTGGCTCATAGACTGTGCACTTTTTGCTTGGGGGTTCCCCCACTCAAAGATTGGACAACCGGGGACTGGGAAGCAGAATTTAAGCCATCTTGAGACAGACCCATGGCCCATGTCTAGAGAACGGTTCAGGGTTCTGGGATTTGTTTGGAGTTGGCTGGTTTGCCTCTTCTGTTGCAGGGATGCGTTACTTTCGTGAAGAATCATTCCTTAGGAAGGCGGTTTTTCCTATGGTGCATTGGAAGGCAACACCTGGCCATCCCTCAGTCCAGTGTCAGTTCTTTTGGGTTTCCCTGGGCCCAACACAAGAACCTCCTTACTGAGCCAAGCGAACCCAGGCATTCCGGGTGATTCTGTGTAAGCTCAGGTGAACGGTTGGGCCTCCTGAAGACCAAGCTCCCACATACCCAGGTGTGCAGATCCCACCCCTTAGAATCCCGCACGTGATCGGGTTGGAGATCCTGGGTTGTTTTTGTGTTGATTCCGTTTTGTTTCGATTGTGCAAAAGGAGGACCATGCGAATCAGAGGGACCTCTTAGAGCGACCGCTGAACAAAATGAAATGAGTTCCCAACCAGCAAAGGGCATCCAGCCCCGCAGGAGTTTGGCCCGCTCTTTGAATCCGAAGTTAACATCAAATGGTTTAGTTTCGCACTTCCGCCGGATGGCTCAGCCGAGACTTTTGCTTGGCACATTCCACAGATCTCAGCAAGGACTTGGTGGTGAGTCCGAGCGATGGCATGGGAATGAGACCCCAAAGTCATAGATTCAGACCGGTAGCTCTTTGTCAGACATGAATCCGAGGGTGCCAGGGGCGCAACGCCAATCCGTTGGCCTCACCAACTTCATGTTGGACAGCCTCACATACCTCTCCAGAGAGTTGGTCCAACAGAAACATCCAAATGGGTGTGGGTGTGTTTGTGTGTGATCTCGGGAACCCCCAAAGTGCCTGGTTTCTGGTTTCCCTTTGAATTCCTGGTTTGAGCCGCCCAAGAAGGGGCACCCTCACCACAAAACAACCCTACCGAGCTAGATGGATCAACCACAGAAGCCTTGACTCCAAACAAACCGCTCGGGCCGAATTTGCGCGGAGAAACATGGCCCGCCCCAGCCGGCCATGCGCGTGAGTCGCGAGGCGCGGCTTCTGTGCGGGTAGGATCCCCTTCTCTCATGAGACACCAACTAGAAAGGGGGCGTGATTGCACCTGGGTCGACGTCACCCTTGTCTCGGTGGTTGCAAGGGGTCCAGGGGAAACCACCCATGTGGCCCCCCCCCAAAAAAAAGGAAGAAGAAGAAAGAATCAGACCTAGTGTGACAGAAATGCAGTGGACATGGAAAGCCAGAAGTGCAACCAAAGGGAATGCACCAGATTTGAGCTGATATTGAAACCCGACCATCACCCTTCACGCGCCCACCCTGCACCTCCACCCGCCCCCTGCATCAGTTTGCTTGAATCACCCTAATTACACACTACAATAAGTCTATAAGGGCCCAAATAATTCGAATGGGGTTATGGACAACTTCAAATCCAAATTTAGTGATAGGAGTAAACTATCAGTCATCATTGCTCCAGCACCCTCGCGACAGCACCCACAAATCAGGCTCCACCTCTTGAGAAATGTTTGGACCACAAAATCGCTGGGTGGCCTGATGACCCCGGTTTCACAGTTTGGAGGAGGGTCCCCCTACCAAGGGACAAGTTCACTGGGGTCATGTTTGGTCAAAGAGTCAAAGATTGCAAACGTTTTTTCCCCAGCTGAAAACTATGGGGTTGATAGGCCCATAAATTGGCTTTGTGCTGGGGACATCAGAGCTTGTGTTTGTCTTGGTTGAGTGCAATAGATGAACCTTCGATTCCAAACTGGGCTTACCACTCAACCATAAACCCTCCCAAAAGAACTAAGGCGACCCAAAAAGAGATGCTTCAGGGGGCGCCAAAAAGCCGAAGCGCGAATATCCGGGACACGCAGCGGGAGCCTCCCTCGGTTTTAGCATCACCGTTTGGACCAATGTCAATCAATTGAGTTTCCCTTCTGTGCAAAGGGGACAGAGGAGCCCTATTTGGCCATGAATTCTAGGTAACCTGCTCCAAGTGGGAAGTGGACATCACTCTCCAAATCCACCAAGCGGTCAATCTAAACACACACACACACCCATTTCGTTCCCAGGTCTCGAAGCTTCTTCATGCCAGGATGATGGGAGCAGGCGGAACCGGCCCGGGCCTGCCGGGCTTGCCGGGCCTGCCGGGCCTGCCGGGCTTGCCACCCTTGCCCGTTCTGCCTGAACCTCAGCTGAGCTGAACCTGGACCTTTCGGTTTGTTGGGGTGCAGGGTTTCCTCCATTCCCTTTGGACAACCTCCAACAGTGGCGATCGTTTCAATGCAAACCACCAGTAAACTGATCAACTTTGGGGGGAATCCAATGGCCCCTGTGAGAGGTGTCCATCGAAGGGTGCCCCGGTCCCCCAGTCTGCAAACGTTGTGTGTGTTCCATTTTCCCAAGGGAGTTGTATTCATTGTTTGTTGCGACGTCCATCTCTTTGTGTGGCACTTTCCAACTTTGCACGTCAGATTGGCATCATTTTTGCCGCATTGACCGAGTTCACACATGTAGACTTCTTAGGTCAGGCATGAACCGAAAGAGGACCATGCCCATGTCTATGACATCTGCCCTTGGCCCTCGTGCAGCGACATCAGCGGTGTCACCGTGACGCTATGGCCTTGCGGAGACTTTGCGGGCACATGGCAAATCCTGTTTTTTCTTCCCTGCCCAGAAATGATCCATCCCCAGTTGGGAAGGGGCTGCAAGGCCCGGCATGGCGCTCTTGCCTGGAGGACTGATGGGTGGGTCTCCCCACAGGCGTTCTGTGGGGGGTTCTTTGACTTTTTTCCAGTGTATTGCAGTTGTGACTTTTGAAATCGAAGGGTCTTGCTGGACCCTTGTCCCAACAACAGTGGTTGTCGCTTGCTCTACTCGGCTTCTTATTTCAACTTGGTGAAGTATGGTAAGTCTAAACGGCTCGCGTTGCCCGCCTCGGCCAGCATGCTTTTGGCTGGTTTTGAATTGTTGTGTTGTTTGCGTGAGTGAGTCGGCACCGGGATGTGTGAGCTGATTTCCAAGATATATTGTGGGTGCATGTTCGCGCGTTTCCACACGGCGTTAGGGGGGGCATCGAGCACCTTAAGGCCCACACATTTATATTTTTTTTAAAGGAAGAAGAATTAATTCCCCCCCGTGCCCCTGAAGGGAAACGGGAGGGGTAGCAGCAAGGGAGCATTTCTTTGGTTCGAGATTCATGCCTTATGCAAAAAAAACAGACTTTGGTTCGCCCCATCGAGCTGGGGAGGTTTTGAGGAATAGTTTGTTTCATTTTTTTTGGCGGGGGGGGGGGGGTTGAGACTGATAAAGTTCAGAATCTCACCCCAAATTTCCACGTCTGTTGAAAGAGGTGGGTAAAGCCCAAAATAGGGGCACCCACCAACAAAAACACGTGGTTTTCCCTTCGTTTTCCTTACTCGAAAAGCAACACACCTATGTAATGAAACTGGTTTCTCAGTACGTGGACAATGTGCTGGGGTTGTGCTTCAAACCCGGCAAAGAACTCAGTTAGTCACAGATTGAGCAACACGTGTTGCAGACCTTTCCCTAGAAACGGACAATTCAAAGGTAGGTTGTGCAGACAATAGCTGTTCAATCCATGTCTAGGCACCATGGACCATGTTTAGCCATGTGTCAGCCCAAGCAAGGCGCTGGCCGAGAGTTGGCGTCAGGACTGGCGCTGCCGACGGCGCCATGCGCCATGCCAGGCGCGAAATCAAAAACGCGTGCGGGTGTCACGGGGAGACTCGGCAGATTTGAGTTGCCCAGGTGCTAAGGAGCATATATATATATATATATATGTTTCTTTCAACCCCCCATTTTTGGCACCTAGTATCAGCGCAACGTGCTGTGTGGTTCGTCCCTGAAGCTTTTTGACAGCTTCCGCAAAGATCTGCGGCCTGTCCAAATCATTTGTGCTCGACATGATCTTTGCGAGCGTTTCTGTCGCGACTCCCGCAAAAATCACATGCTTCCCAACGTGTCCCTGTCTTTGGACCTTGCCATATCAGCTCCACGCATCACCGTTTTCCATTGGCCAGTGTCTTCACACCCACTCTTTTGAGCCAGCTCTATGGGCGTGCCAGCGGGGATGGTGAACAACTGCTGTCCCTTGGTGAGTTCAGGTGAGTGGGAGCACAGAACTTGTTTTGAGGAGGGTGTTGGATTGCAACCTTGCGGACCATGACCAACGCGGTGTTGAACAGAAGGCGTGTTGCGTTTCTCGACGCAGCGTCCCACCTCCGAACACGGAAGCTGACAGAAGTCACCTTGCAAAGTTTGCCAGTTGTCAGTAGTCCAAGTCTGATTTGGGGCCCATGCCACTAGCAAGCCGGACCAGACTGTGGCCAAGTCCCCCTTGCGGAACGGGAGAATCGTTTTAGAGGGGCTTGGGTGACCTCTTCAGATCGCACGAGTTCACGGGCTCAGCTTGATCCAGGGCAGCCAGAGAGGGCTGCTCGTTTTGTGGCTGGGGAACTTCCTGATGAATCAACCAGGCAGAAGTTAAATTGTTTACGGGGCGTCAACATGCAGAACCCGAAAGGCTTTTTTTTTGTTGGGACGGGCCGGCAACTCAGTGCAACCGAGGATTGCTGTAGCTCTTTCGGAAAATATTGGCCGATAGTCCCGGACGAATGGCCTTGCGTGCCAAAACCACACCAGCTTTTGTTGCTGTCCCCGTTTTGCAGGTAGGCAAACATATACGGGGGTGTGGGAAAAGAAAAGAACATGGGAGTTTAACAATATCAACTTGGGCGTGCGTTTTTCATGATTTAATGAGGGTTTGGAATGACGTTTACAATATTATGTGAATATACTTCACAAAGTTCTTCTATTTTCACTTTTCTCACTTAATTTCAGTTGAACATAGGTGATCCCCCAACAAAGGAAACGGCTTCCTTTCCTCTTTTGTTGGGGGGTGGATCGGGGGATGCTCTCAGCGCTCCGAGCTTCCGAAAGCCCCAAACCTGCTTCGGTTTGCGCGAGGTCACGTGCCAGTGGCCTGAGCCTCAGGATGCTTTGGGCTCCATGCTACACGCATGATGCTTGGGGTTCAAACCACCATTGGAACAATGAGTGTTGATACGGTTGATACAACCGCCATTGTCTAGGATTTGTCATCTAAACCAGGGCAACCATTGTGGTAAATGGAGTGCAAGCTGGAGCCCTTGACAAAAAGAACCCGTGGGTCCCTGAGAAGAGGGGGGTGAAGGGTTGCCAAATTGGGTGGGTCCCAGCAATGCATCACCTACAGTACTGCTTGCCCTTTTCTAAACGACCCGGATCCAAAGAGGGTTGCCACGTTGTCAATGTGTTTCAAGTTGGACCTGCCCAACACGGCAACATCAACGTGTCATGTTAGCGTGAACCTTGGAGGCCCAACGGCTGTTTTGTTGCGATTCTTTGTTTGCTTGCTGGTTTGTTGGTTGATTCGTGGTGTTTTAGTTTGTTGTGCGTGTGTGTGGCTTGCTCGCCCACTTGCTGGATGGAGAGCCTGCCTGCCTGCCTGCCTGCCTGTCTGCCTGTGTGTCTGTCTGTCTGTGTGTCTGTGTGTCTGTGTGTCTGTGTGTCTGTGTGTCTGTGTGTCTGTGTGTCTGTGTGTCTGTGTGTCTGTCTGTTTGTCTATTTGTACTACATGTTTTGCTTGTTGGCTTGTCTGTTTGTTTGTTTGTTTGTTTGTTTGTTTGCTGGATTGGTTGCTTGCTTGCTTACCTTGCCTTGATTGCTTGTCTATCTAAACTTGTTTATTCGCGTTTTTTTTTGTTTTTGTTGTTTAGTTTGTTTGGTTATTTGCTCAATCTGGCATTGCTTGCTGTTCTTGTTCTCCCTTCAACACCAACCAAAAAGGGTAGCCTCCAAAAAAGGCACGCCCATTTTCTTCCAGACGGTCCTGTTTGTTGTCTTGCTCCGCGGCCCAAATTTCTCAGGCGGCAGCGCTGCTGCCTGGTCAAGAGGCTTCGAGTGGGAAACTGCCTGCCACACGCCTGGGTTGGTTGGGCTCCCTTTGCAAGAGCGTCGTTTTGGGGTCTGCGCGTGCAGAAATTTGGTTCAAGTAACGTGGGCCCCGGAATCAACTGAAGAAGGGTGAGCATCTTACATGGACCCCCCCTTCCCTCATTCAGCCGGTTGATCCTGGGTTCCCAGCACCCCCAGAAATCCTTGTTTGTTCCGGGAAAAATGGACTCATCCCCCAAAGATTGTTCCCTCACTGGGCACGTGAATGAAGACGGATGCCCTATACTTTTATCCCCGAGGATGGAGTGACAATTCAAGATTTTCCTGGCCTCGCAATTTTGGTTCATTTACCAATTTTTCAAAGTCAGAGTTTGCTATGCCATTTTGGGCCGCCGCGCTGCGCCGGCCCGAACTTGGGGTGGGGGTGGGCGGTGGGTTTTCGCAGCTTGGATTGGGCAGCAGCCTCAGATCTTCTCGACAGTGCGTTGTAGAGGAACACCAAGGATAGAAATACTTGTAGCGCCCAGACGCCGTTGAGCGCCAGGCATGCGGCGTGTCGAGTCGACGTCAGCGAAGACAACACATTGTCTTTGTGGTCACGCCAGAGCCACACTTTGTGTTGCCCGGCGCGCCGGTTTACATCCGAGATAGCGCGTGAGTGACAGGCAATTCGTTCTCGCAGCTGGCTTCCATCATTCGGATGGCATCCGCGTGTCAAGACACACAAGACGGTTTTGTTCTTTGATTCGGTCTATGAAGTAGCTAAGGGAACTTGAGCCTGGAAACTCGTCGTGCTTGTCCAGCACAGCCCGGCCGTGAACGCGCGCTCGCATGACTGAGTGTTCAGACTGCGTTGTGTGTTGCCCGGCGCGCCGGGTTATGTCTGTCACGCAGAGCACGAGCGCCCAGCTAGCGGTGCGTAACATCGATGTCAGACGCTTGGATATCACAATGTCTTCGTGGACGCCTGATCCGCACTCTGCGTCGCCCAGCGCGCTGGGTTACGTCCGTTAAGTAGCGCGCGAGCGCCAAGCAAGCGGTTCGTGTACTTGGCTTCCATCATTCGGATGGCGTCCGCGTTTCCAGAAATGCAACACGGTTTGTTCTTTCATTCGCTTTATGAAGCAATTAAAAGAACTTGAGCCTGGAAGCTCGTCGAACACACGCTCGCGTGACTAAGTGTTCGCGCTGCGTTCAGACTAGACGTCGCGCGTCGCCCGGCGTGCCGGGTTACTCTGTCAAGTAGGCGCGAGCGCCAAGCAACCCGCGCGTAGAATCGACGTCAGGTGCTTAGATAGCAGTGTCTTGATAGACGTCAGGCGCGCGCGTTGCATTTACATCCGTCCCAGCAGTGGCTCGCGCAGTGGCAGTAGGCTTCCCTCGCTCGGATGGCAGCCGCATGATCAAGACAACGTTTGTTCATTGATTTGTTTTGTGGAGCTGCTAAAAGAGCAGGTGCCTGACAGCTAGTCGCGCGTTTCCCGCGCAGCCCGGCCGTGAATATGTTCGCACGATTAACGTTGGGCTGCGCAGACTAGGCATTGCGTGTCGCCCGGCGCGCCGGGTTACGTCCGTCGCGTAGCGCCCGGACGACTTCGAGCGCCAGGAATGCAGCGCATTCGGTCGACGTCAGTTGAGACAACACATTGTCTTTTGTGGTCACGCCAGAGCCACACTTTGCGTTGCCCGGCGCGCCGGGTTACGTCCGAGATAGCGCTTGAGTGACCAGCAAATGGGTCTTGCAGCTGGCTCCCATCATTCGGATGGCATACGCGTGTGAAGACGCGCAAAGCTGTTTTGTTCTTTTATCCGGCTTTTGAAGTAGTTAAAAAAACTTGAACCTGAAAGCTCATGGTGCTTGTCCCGCACAGCCCGGCTACGAACACACGCTCGTATGACTAAGTCTTTATGCTGCGTTCAGACTAGGCGTGGTGCGTCGCCCGGCGCGCCGGGTTATGCCAAGCAAGCGGCGCGTAGAAATCGATGTCAGACGCTTTGATATCGCAATCCCCCACATCCGCACTCTTCGGCACCCGGCGCGCCGGGTTTACATCCGCCTGGTAACGCGAGAGTGACAAGCAAAGTGGTTCTCGCAACTGGTTTCCATCATTCGTTTGGCATCCGCGTGTGAAGACGCGCAAGGCTGTTTTGTTTTTGTATTCGGCTTACGAAGTAGTTAAAAGAACTTGAGCCTGCAAGCTCATCGTGCTTGTCCCGCACAGCCCGGCTACGAACACACGCTCGCATGACTAAGTGTTTATGCTGCGTTCCGACTAGGCGTGGTGCGTCGCCCGGCGCGCCGGGTTGTGCCAAGCAAGCGGAGCGCAAAGGCGATGTCAGATGCTTAGGTATCACAATGAATCCGTGGACGCCACATCGGCGCTTTTCGGCACCCAGCACGCCGGGTTTACGTCTGCCACGTAGCGCGTGAATGACAAGCGAGCAGTTCTTGCAACTGGCTTCCGTTATTCGTAGGGCATCCGCGTGTCAAGACACACAAGACGGTTTTGTTCTTTTATTCGGCTTATGAAGTAGTTAAAAGAACTTGAGCCTGGAAGCTCATCGTCAACACTTTGTCGGAAGACTGACCCGCAAAAGCGCGCGAAAGGGTTTAAGGTCAAAGTAAGCCCCACGGAAGCCAAAACGCACACTGCGAAAGCATAGCGAAAGCAGCGGCGAAGAACCCTCCCACTTGAAGCAATCCACAGAAAGTTTCGGCCGCTGCTCAATTGGGAAGCAAGAGTGTTAGGCCCTCTCCCGAGTTTTTGCCTGACTAGTGTCGCACCCTGGAGGTTGACCCCCCTGTGAGCTTCGTCGCGCCGAATCACTTCGGAGGGAAGTGCCCTAGAGCTCATCCGTCCAGTTGGGTTATGTTGTAACTGCATCTTCTCAAGTTGCAGCTGCTCCTGATCTTGTCTGGGAGGTTGCCAAGAACCCCATGGCCCTGTGACCCCAATCACGTCGAATGAGCTCGGGGGGCGGTGTTGCCAATTTGTACTTGCCTAGTCAGCATTTAACAACAGGAGCCTTTTCGAATTTACCCCATGCGAGACGGCAGTCGCCGGCTTAATCAGGAAAATCCAGCTGATTCAGCGCGCTAGAAGTTTGCCACCAGCGCCCAGGATTTTGAAAGGCAAAGGGGAAGATCAAGCCGATTTAGCGCGCTAGAAGTTTGCCACCGGCGCCCAGGATTTTGAAAGGCAAAGGGGAAGATCAAGCCGATTTAGCGCGCTAGAAGTTTGCCACCGGCGACCAGGATTTTGAAGGCAAGGGGTACAGTCAAGCTGACTCATTGCGCTAGGAATTTGCCACCAGCAGCCAGGATCTTGAAAGGCAAAGGGGAAGATCAAGCTGATTCAGCGCGCTAGAAGTTTGCCACCGGCAACCAGGATTTTGAAAGGCAAGGGGCAAAATCAATAATTTCGGCGCAAGGGCTGTTTCCGGGAACAATAATTTGGGCAACCCGCAGATTATCTCGCTAATATTTGCCAGTGGCCCCAAAGCGCGCAGAAGAGCCCGATTAGGCGCAGGATTGTGCCCAAGCGCCCCAACCTTTGTTCGCAAAGCGTTTTCAGCGCTTACTTGCGCAGCATTTGCAAAGCGTCCAGAGGCTGCAGCTTTGTTGCTCAAGACAAGCTTAGTGGGTTACTTGAGCCGAACCACGACTTATGCCTTGCACTCCTTCATGCGTGACCCTCTGGATAACTTGTGACTGTCCTGTTGGGTAGACGCGAGTTTTGGTGACTGTGTAAGCACCATGAGGAGTTGTTCGGGTTACTTCGTTGCGCTTGAAGCCGAGAACTCTTTCCTTCCTCTTGCGTGGGTAAGCCGAAGGCAAACTGTCACCAGCCGATCCACGACTGAATCCGAAACAGTGGCTTTGGCCACCGCCGTGTACAATGATGTGATGCCCTTGGAGATCGCTTGCAGCCACCTCTTTGGCCGTGAGATTCTTGTGAAGTGCTGGGAAGATAATCAAGCTGTCCTTGCGATTGTATCGAAAGGATTTTCTTCCAAATTGAGACACTTGCAAATGACTCACAAGATCAACATCGCCTAATTGTCAGAAGCAATTGAAAACCCCAATTACGAATGAGATTACATTGTGACAACCGAGCAAAAGGGAGATACCTTGACGAAGGCGCTCGGCCCTCAGAAGTGGGGCGCTGCCCTCGACTTGATTCATGTTGGGGGTTGTCCGCAACAATCAAAGCCTGAATGAACACCTCACCTGCCCCTGCCGTGTTTGGCTAGCTTTGAGCGCCTCACACCGCGAAGCGAACTCAATTAGTTTCACGAGAAGTGAATTGCATGACACTACTTGGCTCTCACCAGGTCGCTGCTAGACACCCTTGTGTTGCCAGGTTGAAGTTTTCGTGTCTTGGTTTGCATTGCAGTAAAGAAACTTGTGTGTGCTTGGAATCAGGGGGGGCGACTTCGCGCCCTAAACCGGTGTCCTTGTGAGGCGGCCGGGCATGCCGCACTTGAGCAGTTGCCAAATCTTAGACAAACATAGTTGATTGCAAAATGCATCAATGGGCTTTGAATATCTTAGCCATACAAACCAGTGCAGCATTTAATGGTGAGCTTTGTTGTTCCCAGTTGAGTGGCTTGCTTCGTCATGGCTTTTGTGCCAGCATCTCGACTCTTGACAAGCTTTGCCGCTCTTGCGCATCAGCTAGCAACTTGAGATGGCACCTTTGCCTGGATCATTAATTCGTATCCATGTCATTAATTCGAGAGTTGTCTTTTGGTCGCCTTTCTAAGTTGATGCAATCATTCTAGCAAGGGGTGAAGCTACCCTTCGCTGCGACCCGTCCTGCGCCTGGGAGAGTTGAACAAACCCACCTTTTCAAGGGGCGTGTTCCTCTTAGCTTCCTCTCCGGGTATGGTGCATGAGTTTTGTCATTTGCCAATCATTTGGCTCAAGGCTGTGAGGGGGATCCTCGCGCTTGCGTCGCTGCCATAGTACTGGACATTCTTGAATCACTTGAACTCTGGTATTTCAACTTAAAAGGTTCCATAGCAACGGAGGGTTTTTCAACATGGGTGGCTTCACGTTTCCCGAAATAAACACACTCAAAAAAGGCCACCCTCAAAAAACACACACCCAGGTCCACTAAAGCGGTTGATCTGATGAAGAAAGCATTTGTGTTTTCCATGGCCCAAACTTGTGCCGGGCAATTAAACCATCGCTCCAGCCGCGCATGGCGCAGAAGGCGCGTGGCAAATTTGGCAGAACCACTGTCCGCTCTCACGCAATCTTTTCTGCTATCGGCTCCTGAGGAGCATGATAAGCCGATCCAGCCTTCTACGAGCACCCAAAGATCCATGGAACATGCGACGGGAAACAAGACGTAATGTGTCTATGTCCCCTGCTCAGGAAACGCGCAAACGACAATTTGCAATCCAGGGCTAATGGAGGCCCAAGCCATACTTCGCAAACTGGGATGGTCTTAGGTTGCACATGAAGGCGTTTCTCAAAATGGTGGACCGCTTTTGGGAGCGCTTGAAAGGGAAACCAACCTGGTCCCCTATTTTGAGAAGTGCAATCGCGCGCTAGTCAGGACTGGTGACACTCTGGGTCACTCCCCTGAAATCCTTTCTTCCGGGCCCGCGACCCGCGAGTTTGGAATGCAGACATGCTGTTTTTAACTACTCTACAAGAGGTATCAAAGTCAGTTTGGGTTCCTCTTCAATAGGACCGCCAAGGGGAACGACTTTGATGATGCTAAAATAGCAGGGACAGTTTTCGTGATTTTTGGGGTAGGTATGTTAGTCTATTTTAGTGGGGGATTGGGATGTTCACTGGGGGTACGATTTGGATTTTGACCCATGGCCAAATGGACATGAGACAGTCTTTGAGAGGATTTCTGTCGTGAGTTCTACTGCTAAAGGCTAGTGTCCAACTCGTAAAGCCTTTTGGTGGGCTGACTCTGCTGGAGGTAGTGTTTTTTGTTGGTTGGTTGGCTGGCCGCATCCCCGGCATCACCAGCATCACTTGGACCTGGGGTTGCCAAGTCAACCCTAAACCCGGCCTGGATGTCAGCCCTTCGCTTCGCCTAAATCAACCCCAAACCACCCCAAGACCCCACCCTCATGAAGATCTAAGCCAGCCAAAACCCCCTAGCTTAAACCAGCCCCCAGCAACTCCCAACTGCCACCCAATCAGAGCCAATAGGCGACCCCAGGTCCAAGTGATGTTGGTGATGCCGGGGATGTTGGCAGCTTTGCGGAAAACCGGACCTAGTAAGAAACCGGACCTAGTAACACAAAAAACACCTCTACCGACTCCGCCAGGAAGCCGGTTTCAGCCTTCTGAAAAGAGGGTCGTGTCAGGGCAAGCCGCCAC